TAAATGTTAAGGCCGACCGTCTTTGAACCATGATTCCATTGATACATCTGTACAGTGTTTGTGTGTGTGCATGTGGACGAGGGGGGGGTGGACGGATGAATGGACTCGATGACAATATATTGTACAAATAGTGAATATATATGTATGCTTGGAATGTTAAAGAATATGATAAGAGGGAGAAATCACTATTGTTGTGATCGTTGTGAGACCAACAGAGGAATAAAGGTCTGAACTGGGGACGTGGAGGTTTACCTGAGGTTCAGGTAAATGAAAGATTGTTTGAATGTAACTTTGGAGAGTAACTGTTGGCTTTACCAAACTGGAATAAAGACCTCTGATAAGAGATATTTCCAAAGGAGATATGTGTTGTTTTACTTGCAAACATTTACATCTGCGTTACATAAGCTCTATGTATTTCAGTGTGAGGATCAAGAAGGTGACTTGTCTGATGATCATGCGTGTTCAAATATCTGCATGCTGCTCCTGTATTTAATCCTTTATAGCTCACAATTAAAAAATAAACCATAAGGGACAAGACACAACATACAATATAGGTCAAACCTTTACAACTTCTCCTTTCACGATTGATTTAGGAAGCAGAAGTTTATAGATATGTTTTAGTTTTTATAATGACATACACAATTACAATGTGACTACAGTGTAAGACAGTAGGTCAAGTCTCAGTAACACCTTGACTTCATATTTGATCAATTACACTATATCTCATATCTGACTTCCCATTCAATATATTAGATTTATTTTATTCTAAATTGTATTCATCTGTCACACACACACACACACACACACACACACACACACACACACACACACACACACACACACACACACACACACACACACCACACACACACACACACACACACACACACACACACACCAAAGGCCTTTGCCTCCCTAACCATTGTTTTTATGGGTGAGCCTCCCATTTATTGATGTCAGATATCTCATTTAGTGTTTCTCCACCTCACACTCTCCAAAGCCACACACCCCTTCAAAAGAACATCTGATAACTCCTTCAGCCTACTTTCAGCTGCACAAATATTCAACTATTAACTTATTCAGCTATTTCAGGACATTGAGGCATACATTTACAGTAGAGGAAATAAGTATTGATCCCTGCAGAATTTGTAAGTTTACCCACTTATTTTACAACTAAAAGCTCTCTTCAAATGTAGAGCAGGTTGAAAGCGAGGCTCCGTTTGTAAATGAGGAAACAGTTCAGAGTGTCAGCGCTGCTCTCCTCCTGGAATGAGTCAGAGTTTGATAGCCCTCCCTCTTCTTCCCTGCTCTCAGACACAGCCAGCTCCACTCTGTATTTCCTGGTTCCTCCCCTTTAGATCCACACTGAGGAGGATGGGTGTAACCAACACGTGGGTAAAGTACAAGAGCTGATAGGCCAAATTCACTGCACACACACATGTGTTCAGATCACAGCTCACATAGTTTCAGTTCTCAGGAAGTGAAACTCAGACACTCGCTGCCACTGAGAGGAGAAATGGCGAAAAGGAGTTCAGCTGGACCGGGAAACCTTCTCTTGTTCGATCTGTCTGGATCTACTGAAGGATCCGGTGGCGACTCCCTGTGGACACAGCTACTGCATGAAGTGTATTAAGGCTTCTGGGATGGAGAGGATGAGAAGAAGACCCACAGCTGCCCTCAGTGCAGGCAGAGCTTCACACCGAGGCCTGTCCTGCTGAAAACACCATGTTAGCAGCTTTAGTGGAGGAGCTGAAAGAAGACTGGACTCCAAGCTGCTCCTGCTGATCTCTGCTATGCTGGAGCTGAAGATGTGGCCTGTGATGTCTGCACTGGGAGAAAACTGAGAGCCTGTAAGTCCTGCCTCGTGTGTCTGGCCTCTTATTGTGACAAACACCTCCAGCCTCATTATGACGTAGCTCCATTAAAGAAACACAAGCTGGTGGAGCCCTCCAAGAAGCTCCAGGAGAACATCTGCTCTCGTCACGACGAGGTGATGAAGATGTTCTGCCGCACTGATCAGCAGAGTATCTGTTATCTCTGCTCTGTGGACGAACACAAAGGCCACGACACGGTGTCAGCTGCAGCAGAGAGGACTGAGAGGCAGAGAGAGCTGGAGGGGAGTCGACTAAACATCCAGCAGAGAATCCAGGACGGAGAGAAGGAGGTGAAGCTGCTTCAGCAGGAGGTGGAGGCCGTCAATGGCTCTGCTGATAAAGCAGTGGAGGACAGTGAGAAGACGTTCACTGAGCTGATCCGTCTCATGGAGAAAAGAAGCTCTGATGTGAAGCAGCAGGTCAGATCCCAGCAGAAGAGAGAAGTGAGTCGAGTCAAGAGCTCAGGAGAAGCTGGAGCAGGAGATCTCTGAGCTGAAGAGGAGAGACGCTGAGCTGAAGCTGCTGTCTCACACAGAGGATCACAACCAGTTTCTGCACAGCTACCCCTCACTGTCAGCCCTCAGTGAAGCTACACACTCCTCCAGCATCAACCTCCGTCCTCTGAGCTACTTTGAGGACGTGACGGCGGCCCTGTCAGCAGTCAGAGACAAACTACAGGACGTCCTGAGAGAGGAATGGACGAACGTCTCACCGCCTGAAGTGGAAGTTTTACTGTCAGCAGCAGAGCCCACCACCAGAGCTGGGTTCTTAGGATATTCACAGGAGATCACCCTGGATCCAAACACAGCAAACACACATCTGTTAATATCTGAGGGGGGCAGAAAAGCAACATACATGGGACAACAGCAGTCTTATTCTAATCATCCAGACAGATTCACTGATTGTTGTCAGGTCCTGAGTAGAGAGAGTCTGACTGGACGTTGTTACTGGGAGGTGGAGTGGAGAGGGGCAGCAGTTTATGTAGCAGTCGCAGACAAGAATATCAGCAGAGCAGTGGGTGGGGGTGAATGTGGATTTGGACTCAATGACAAATCTTGGTCCTTAGATTGTTTCCAACACAGTTATTTATTTCGTCACAACAATATCAACACTCCCCTCTCAGGTCCTCGGTCCTCCAGAGTAGGAGTGTACCTGGATCACAGAGCAGGTATTCTGTCCTTCTACAGCATCATCTCTGAAACCATGACTCTCCTCCACAGAGTCCAGACCACATTCACTCAGCCGCTACATGCTGGAGTTGGGCTTTATTATGGAACCACAGCTGAGTTTTGTAAACTGAAATAGCCTGAAGTCATTTGAGGAACTCTTCTACTTCTTAAACTCATTGTGTCCATCATTGTTGCTGAGAGCTGATTGTTCATGTCTTCACTGCACAGAGATCAGCTGTCAATCAAACATTATGGGATGTGCTTTAACATCTTCTCACGAGTTGTTCTGTAGATGTTGGAGTTTCTTTAGGCGGCGCTCCTTCCTGTGTCTGTTTAGCCATGGAGGCTGTCACTGCTCAGGAGGGTTTCTGTTGACCTCTACTCATATTTCTCTGCATGGAAATGTGAACTTTGCTCTAAATATGTGTTGAATATTGATATATTTGTATGTTGTTGTTTCTCTTGAAGCTTGAGTCTTCAGAGAGAAAGCACCAGAGCTTCTTTCATTTCAGATATTTTATTCTGGCCACTTTCTCAACAATAGAGACATTTATAATCACATGTATTATTTTGACAGATTAAATATTATTGTTGCCCAAATTAATGAACAAATGAGTTTCCCCAGATGGTTATAACACTTATTTCATCATTACATGTTTATTTAAAATGATATTACTTACTGTCATGATCATAATCAATAAGTCAATCATTTATTATTCTCCTGTCAATAGCTTAGAGTCTTTGTTTGGGAAATACATTGTATAATATTACAGTTATTGTTTTGCAGACTCATTGTTGTTGTTGTTGTTGTTGTTGTTGTTGTTGTTGTTGTTGTTGTTGTTATCCAAATAGAAAGTGGGCACTGATGTTTTATAGAACATTAATTATCATGATAATAATCAATAAGTAAATCATTTCTGATTCTGTTTGAAATAGCTGAGATTCAGATTGTGTGGATGAAGTGAAACTGATCATAAAATCATTGAACAGACTTTACTGATGGGATGTGTGATCAAATTAACTGTTTGGATATTAATAAAGGTTTGTCTTTCAAAAATAAAAAAGGATGTTCTTCTTGTATAATGTCCAAGGTGCCATAACATTTAACCATTTTCATTCAAATGATTTCACTTTTCTACATTTCTCCGCTAAGTTCAGCAGTTTGTAGCTAAAAGCAGTCGCCATTCAGCTGTTACAATATTCAGCTTCTTCTGCATTTTCTAGTCTAACTTCAACTGCCTTCCTCCATGCAACGACTAGCTTTCTGTGGTGAGTATTTCACTATATTTAAATGTGTATACTTGTGGAAGCCCATTCTCTAAAAAGGAAAGTTGCATAGTTAACAATGGTGAAAGTAACTTAGTACATTTACTCAAGTAATGTAGCCTACTTAAGTATAATTCGGGTACTTCTACTTCCACATCATTAATACAAATCTGCATATGAATTAAAGGTATTAAAGAAATGTAGTGGGGTAGAATTACAAAGTACCTCAAAAATGTACTGGAGAAAATCTACTTTTCACTGTACAATACATTTCAGAGGCTTTTAATGCACTTCATTTATTTGACAAAAGTAGTTGCTTTTTATACAAATTCATGTGTTTATATGATATATATTTTTTACAAATTGACTCAGCACTTTCCAAAATGTGCTCCATATTGACCAAGTCCAACATTTAAAAAACTCATGTATTTTCTCATGATGAAAACAAGATATTATAATATTGTATAATAATACAACTCTTATATAAAAGAGTACTTTTACTTTTGATACCTGAGTACATTTAGCTGATAATACTTCTGCCAAATAGACAATAAATAGAACTTCTTTGGAAAGTTCAACACTTTTCTTCCGTGACAGTTTCAACCTATATGGCACAAAAATAAATATATATCAAAGGTGAACCTGTCAGACTCCAAGTGGGAGGACTTCCATGTGATCACTGGAGCGTTACAGATGTACTTCAGAGAGCTGCGCTCTCTTCCACGACTTCATCAGCGCAATCAGTACGTGAAACACACAGCTGCACCACAACCACAAAACCAACATCAGCCTTTAGCTGTTAGCACTCAGAGCTCACAGCTCCTCATATCTGTTCAGAAACTAGACAAAAGTTAAACCAGTACAAACCACAGACTGTCTGTGTCATGGCGAATACAGTCGCTGGTTTATTTATGTCTGTATAGGCCGTTGTTGTGAGTGTGGACGGTCGGAGCATATAGCCTACAACGTTAGCGTAGCCAAACTCCATTAGAAAAAAAGGATTTAAAAAGGTTTTTCGCCTGCCGTCTGTCTGCAGACTAATCAAAGCATTAATTCATGGTTTTTACTAACCGGTATCAGTATGTTGTTACTTCGGCATTATTTTGAAACGTGTATTACAATTAAATCACGGTCAAATATGTTCATTTTGTTGTAGTTGTAGCCCCCTTGCCAACGATTCTCTCACTAGTTTAGCATGCTCAGCCCGGTTGTTGGCCCGGAAAGAACCTGGGTTTTGGAGAGCCAGAAAAACTGTGAAACCGTACCCGTTAGCCTCTTTGTAAACAGCGTAGTATTCATATTGTCTTTTATTGGGAATAAGTAAAACAATGTGCATATGATGTGGAAGTAGTCAGTGAAACAACAGAAGGAGGCATGAGACTCTTTGATGAATCCAGATGATTCACTTTGATAAATGTTGTGTTTTCTGTTGTGCAGAGAGTCCAGACTACAAGCAGCGGGTTCAGTCCATTAAAGATCTGGTCCGACAGCTTCCCGTCTGCAACCACGACACCATGCAGACTCTCTTCAAGCACCTCAGGAAGTGAGAAAAACACTCTCTTACTGCTCTATCATTTATTTTTCCTTTTCTTCAGCTTGCTGTGTATAATGCCTACAAATCAAATCACACTTTGTATGCCTTTCTCTGGCGACATCTGCGGCCTGAGGCATAATATGTTTGAGTTGTCCGTCAGAAATAACTTCCAAACATATGTCTGTCCGTACGCCTCGTTCTCCCAGGAATGCATAGAGGGAACCTTTTCAGATCTGGCACACATGTGGACTGTGACTTAAAGATGAACTGATCAGAAATGTGCGATGAAAGCAGGGCGGACTGGGACTAAAATGCAGCCCTGGAAACTGACCCAGTCCGGACACATGAAATGTCAAATGTTAGAAATCCGCTGTTTATTATTTAAAGTTTTACGTCCGATTCACTCCTTTTTCCCTCTCTGTACACAGCTCCAGTTTGATCATTGGCCTGTCATCAGATTTCATTTTTAGTTGCTGCTGTAGCGGAAGTTTAGTACAATTATTTTTGATGAAATACTCCAAATCTCCACCCTCCATAATTGCACTTGCTTCAGTTGCTTGCTACTTTTTAAGGGCAGTGATGACAGTTACAGTACGAACTGAAGTTGATGTGATTTGATTGGATTGTGAGGCATGACGTGCGCCTCATCTGATTGGTCAATCCCTCAATTTTTTTTCACCAAGGGAAGCCAATTTTGGCTGGCCTCCTCTCGCAACAGAGAGTGCAATCTACTGTTTCACCATAACATCTAGAGGGGCGCTGTTTCACTCTTTGTAAAATACTCAATGAGAATGGGGGAGAGACGGGCCGGCAGAATAATTACCGAAACTAAACGAAGTGTTTTTATTTATTTATTAATATTATAACTACAATGCAAAAAAACAGGGGAAGCCTGGCTTCCCTTGGCCTCCAGGAGAAAACGCCACTGAGTTCAAGGGATAATTCTCACCCACCTCTTGCTCTTGCCCTGCACGTGTATGTGCCAGTTGAGCTGGTTCTTCCAGCAGCTCAACTCTGTCCCTCATCATGAACGCAGGAGGGGCTGTATATCTGAATCGTGCCCTCATCATTCTCTTCATCATCTTGCACTTGTTCTAAGCTGCTGCTGATAGTGTTTGTAGCGCTGCTGCCAAAAAGGTCTGTCGATTTGCGACATTTATAAGCTTCACCTGCGAGTGACTTCACCTTTATTTCTCTTGCCTTCTCGGCTACCCACCTTTTCCTTTTCGTTTTCTTTGATTTGTATCCATGTTTTTTCATTCTCCCTGTCTGCCGCGGCGTCTAATCCCTTCTCTTCGGCCCAATCCCAAACCACTCCTCGACCCTACCCCCCTCCGTGATGGAGTGAACTCCGTCTGTAGCACACACTCGCAGCTCAACGAGGCTCCCTCCTGTCAGATGGAGGGAGTAAACACAGCAGCAAGCTTTGGGACGGCCTCCCTCTCTCTCCGGCAGAAACAGGAAATGCCGTAACTGTGTGTAACAACGGTTCATCAGATCAGCATCTCTTAGACAAAAAGTTTAAATGAATAACTCAAATAAAACTCCAAAACTCTTTCATTGTGTTTCAAAGCTCTTTTAGTTTTAAACCTGATGTTTATAAGCTTCTTAGTTTTTGCAACGGTCTGTAAATACACAACTTTATAATAAATGCACACATTTACATTTTTCTAACTAAACACAGGTATGATCCTAAGTTAAAAACATATGAGGTTATCATGAGGTTGTTAACATCGTAGTTTATCAGTGGATGTTTGCTGGAATTACTTGTAAACAGCGTGTTTCCTGTCGGACACACACAGCGTGACTCCGGTCAGGTAGAGACCGGTCTCAAGTCAGCACCGCTGCAGACTCGCTGTTTGAGGGCTTGATAGCCCACTCCCCCTCCACACTCGTTGCTTTGGAACAGCCCTCAATATGGCGGACCCTCCGCGTGAACGCGCAAACGGAGGGGTAGGGTGTGTCACTACCCGATCTGCAGCTCTGCCCGATCTGCAGTGCGCATGTGCGAGATGGTCCGCCATATTGGACACTCCGGACGGCAACCCAAGTAGGACAACATTGACACAGTGGCTTTTGTTAAAGCTCAAAAGGAAAACTCGTGAGAGATGATGTTATTGTTATTACAACGGACTTCACTATTATTTAACAACTCTTTTTATTGGGTTCTTTTATTTGGGGTTAAGTACATTGTCAGAATAAGTGAGTAATGAATGTAACTTCTGTTAGACAGCCATATGCCATACATTTTTGCACACATTCACAGTAAATATGTATTCAGTATGATAGCTGTCTAACAGAAGTTAAATCCATTTCTCACTTATTCTGACAATGTAGTTAACCCCAAATAAAAAACCCCATAATGAAGATGAAAAGCGAATTGACGACACTACACGACCGCCCCCTACTACGCCACCCACGGTGGCTGAGAGACCGTACATGGCATGTTATTGTAGCATTTTAAGCAACTATTAGGCAAATAAATTAATAACCTATCCGTTTGAGAACCCCTTGGAACCCCTTATCCCATTTTGATGGTTGACATCTCATTTGAACAGTGAAAGCCAGAATGACAGCAGGGGTGAATTTCATTTTATAATTTTGCAATAAGTCAAAGATATGTTTACTGTATATTCTAAAAATGCTTGTCATGTAGGCATACTGGAGGTACCGTTCCAATGATGTATTAATAATAAGATATATATAGCGCCTATATATATATATATATATATATATATATATAATAGCAAAAAATAAACACAATTACACTGCGCTAAACTGCCACCATCGACAAACAAACAAGAACCTAATAGTATGTAATTATATCTAAAACCACAATACGTTTAATAATTGCCTGTACTTCGGTGCGCCATATTGTTTGTTGTCTGTTGTCTGTAACCTCCATGTCTCCTTAAATATCCTTGCGTCAGCGTCTCACGTGTTGGGCGTGCTCTCTTCTGACCATATTTGGAAGTACAACTTTCGCGGCCGCAGCTAGACCCTTCTCAGCCACCGTAGTGTCGTGTCAGGTGGGCGTGTCGTGGTACCATCGTGTACCATCGTGTACCATCGTGTACCATCGTGTACTGTCCGCGGCCGCAGCTAGACCCTTCTCGTGTAGGGGGCGGTTTGGGAATGGGCCTTCGTGTGGGCCGGTCTTTTCTCTTCTTGTGTGTGATTATTTGACATAAGAACCACACAACTGCATTAGCGGCCGCTGTCGGCCGTCAGCGCAATTTAAATGATGACGTTAAACCGTTTCTTTTTAAAGTGCCTGCCGTCCACAGCCCTTGACGACCGGCCGTTCTGTGGTTCTCCAGATTCTACAGATGGCCAGTCCGCCCCTGGATGAAAGCTAACTACTAATTAGGACAATTTCAAAAATAGGATAAAAATAGGCTGATGACAATTTGGAAGAATTTGGTTGAGGCATACGATCGTCACTCTGTAATACTAGTATAGCGGATTTATGAGTTGATAATAATTAAAGAATATTGAGTTTTTCCTCCATATTTGTAGGCTTTTTCTCATTCTATAAATGTACACCTATATTTTCAGAAAATGACAAAATAAATCACGAATGAATGTATAAATACGTCTAAGAAATTCTGAGTTGTTTACTCTTTACTCCCCTGCCCAGGTTTGTATATTTCACCTACAACGGCCTAAATAAACCATCATACATATCTGATTATGAAAAATACGACAGCATTACGGAGCAGATTGTAAACAGTAGAGTATTTCTGAGAGAATTCTGTGTTTATTACGTATCTGCAACCACGTTTTTTGCACTACTAAATACTGTGAAATATTTACTTCATTATGTGACCGTCTATGTTTCCTGTAGATATTTAATTGGCAGTTTTACTGCACTGTTAGTTTACAGTTTTGTTATTGTGCTGCTGTGTTTATTGTATTTTGTAACTCTGGCACAACAATTTCCTTCGGGATAAATAAAGTCTTATCTTATGTCAGGATTTATTATCAATTCCAAATGATGTGTCCTCTCCAGGGTGATCGAGCACGGCGAGGAGAACCGTATGACCACTCAGAGCGTGGCCATCGTGTACGGCCCCACGCTGTTGCGCCCCGAACAGGAGACGTGGAACATCGCGGTCCACATGGTGTACCAGAACCAGATCGTGGAGCTCATACTGCTGGAGTACGAGAACATTTTCGGCAGGTAGAGAGAGACGCTGGAGGACGAGCCTCTTGTTTTTCTCTCTCACTCTCCCAACGCAGAGCTCTTCCTAACCCAGCGTGGCCTTGCCGAACACAGCCTGGCTCGGCTCGGCTCGGCTCAGCTTCTCTTCCTCTCAATTGTAGTCACTGTGCTTTCTCCTCTCGTACAACCTCCGGACCAAAGCTACGCAAATGTGTCATAAACCAAACCATAGATGTATCGAACTAGCGACCAAGAAACAGGTTTGCACTTTTCAGTATCTCATGTTCTCCTGCAGCTGCGTTTGTGCCACTTTACTGCAATAGTTGGCGTCCAAATGTCCGACACTGGATTCCTAATACAGGGCCATAAACGCCTCGTCTACTGCACAGAGACCAAAGCATCAGTTGGCTGGAAGTAAGGGAGGCGTCAGTATTGGAGGTTGGAGACCGACTGTATTGTATAACCTGTCACCACTCCTGTAAGAACCACACTGGGGAACCAAGAGAAGGAACTGCTGTGCTTGGCTTTAGACGTTTAGGACACTAAGAGAAAGCAACGTGGAGAAGAAGGGATGGAACGCTTTTATTTAGGAATGATATGAACATTTACTGCCCTTTCCGTTCAGGTCTCCCTTTGTCTTTCCTTTTATTTGAGCAGGAATGCTTCACACATCAAAATGACCACTTGTATATCAAATTACTCGACTCGTGTTTTCTTAAGTTTTTGAAGATGATGTCGTTTTTCTTGTATCCCTCTACGGTAAGAAGAATTCAAAAAAACTGTTTGATGAATTGACGTAAATTGGGACGTATTTTAAACCCTTTATTTAAAAGCTCTCACATTTGTGCAGTAAAGCTCAAATATCCCGTCACATGCTAGTAATTCCAATTTTTTTATAAAACCTTACATTATAAAAGACATCAAAGTTTCACATTTGAGCATTAATTTGACCCTCCGTGAGACCAGTCATGTGGAAGTGCTTTAAATAGTAAGCTCTTAATGAAGAATTCAAGATAACATGGTGAATAATTGTCATTCCTTTAAACGCTCTTTCCATCTCTCTCTTTGTTCTTCTTCCTGTATTCCTGAAACACTGGACCAGGGTCCTCTGAACACATGAGAGGCTTCACTCTGTCATATATCTGCACGCCGCCTTCTCCATTTGGCTTTATGAACAAATCACCTTGCAAGCAGCCAGAACTTGAAAAACAAACAAATGGGTACTCAGCTGTGTCTTTCCTTGACTCGTGGATATTAAATGTTAAGGCCGACCGTCTTTGAACCATGATTCCATTGAATACATCTGTACAGTGTTTGTGTGTGTGCATGTGGACGAGGGGGGGGTGGACGGATGAATGGACTCGATGACAATATATTGTACAAATAGTGAATATAAATATGTATGCTTGGAATGTTAAAGAATATGATAAGAGGGAGAAATCACTCTTGTTGTGATCGTTGTGAGACCAACAGAGGAATAAAGGTCTGAACTGGGGACGTGGAGGTTTACCTGAGGTTCAGGTAAATGAAAGATTGTTTGAATGTAACTTTGGAGAGTAACTGTTGGCTTTACCAAACTGGAATAAAGACCTCTGATAAGAGATATTTCCAAAGGAGATATGTGTTGTTTTACTTATGCAAACATTTACATCTGCGTTACATAAGCTCTATGTATTTCAGTGTGAGGATCAAGAAGGTGACTTGTCTGATGATCATGCGTGTTCAAATATCTGCATGCTGCTCCTGTATTTAATCCTTTAGCTCACAATTAAAAAATAAACCATAAGGGACAAGACACAACATACAATATAGGGTCAAACCTTTACAACTTCTCCTTTCACGATTGATTTAGGAAGCAGAAGTTTATAGATATGTTTAGTTTTTATAATTGACATACACAATTACAATGTGACTACAGTGTAAGACAGTAGGTCAAAAGTCTCAGTAACACCTTGACTTCATATTTGATCAATTACACTATATCTCTCATATCTGACTTCCCATTCAATATATTAGATTTATTTTATTCTAAATTGTATTCATCTGTCACACACACACACACACACACCACACACACACACACACACAACACACACACACACACACACACACACACACACACACACACACACACACACACACCAAAGGCCTTTGCCTCCCTAACCATTGTTTTTATGGGTGAGCCTCCCATTTATTGATGTCAGATATCTCATTTAGTGTTTTCTCCACCTCACACTCTCCAAAGGCCACACACCCCTTCAAAAGAACATCTGATAACTCCTTCAGCCTACTTTCAGCTGCACAAAATATTCAACTATTAACTTATTCAGCTATGTCAGGACATTGAGGCAATACATTTACAGTAGAGGAAATAAGTATTTGATCCCCTGCAGAATTTGTAAGTTTTACCCCACTTATTTAACAACTAAAAGCTCTCTTCAAATGTAGAGCAGGTTGAAAGCGAGGCTCCGTTTGTAAATGAGGAAACAGTTCAGAGTGTCAGCGCTGCTCCTCCCCTGGAATGAGTCAGAGTTTGATGAGCCCTCCCTCTTCTTCCTGCTCTCAGACACAAGCCAGCTCCACTCTGTATTTCCTGGCTCCTCCCCTTTAGATCCACACTGAAGAGGATGGGTGTAACCAACACGTGGGTAAAATACAAGAGCTGATAGGCCACATTCACTGCACACACACATGTTGTTCAGATCACAGCTCACATAGTTTCAGTTCTCAGGAAGTGAAACTCAGACACTCGCTGCCACTGAGAGGAGAAATGGCGCAGAAAGGAGTTCAGCTGGACCGGGAAAACCTTCTCTTGTTCGATCTGTCTGGATCTACTAAAGGATCCGGTGGCTATTCCCTGTGGACACAGCTACTGCATGAAGTGTATTAAAGGCTTCTGGGATGGAGAGGATGAGAAGAAGACCCACAGCTGCCCTCAGTGCAGGCAGAGCTTCACACCGAGGCCTGTCCTGCTGAAAAAACACCATGTTAGGCAGCTTTAGTGGAGGAGCTGAAGAAGACTGGACTCCAAGCTGCTCCTGCTGATCTCTGCTATGCTGGAGCTGAAGATGTGGCCTGTGATGTCTGCACTGGGAGAAAACTGAGAGCCTGTAAGTCCGGCCTCATGTGTCCTGGCCTCTTATTGTGAGAAACACCTCCAGCCTCATTATGACGTAGCTCCATTAAGAAACCACAAGATGGTGGAGCCCTCCAAGAAGCTCCAGGAGAACATCTGCTCTCGTCACGACGAGGTGATGAAGATGTTTCTGCCGCACTGATCAGCAGTGTATCTGTTATCTCTGCTCTGTGGACGAACACAAAGGCCACGACACGGTGTCAGCTGCAGCAGAGAGGACTGAGAGGCAGAGAGAGCTGGAGGGGAGTCGACTAAACATCCAGCAGAGAATCCAGGATGGAGAGAAGGAGGTGAAGCTGCTTCAGCAGGAGGTGGAGGCCGTCAATGGCTCTGCTGATAAAGCAGTGGAGGACAGTGAGAAGACGTCACTGAGCTGATCCGTCTCATGGAGAAAAGAAGCTCTGATGTGAAGCAGCAGGTCAGATCCCAGCAGAAGAGAGAAGTGAGTCGAGTCAAAGAGCTCCAGGAGAAGCTGGAGCAGGGAATCTCTGAGCTGAAGAGGAGAGATGCTGAGCTGAAGCTGCTGTCTCACACAGAGGATCACAACCAGTTTTCTGCACAGCTACCCCCTCACTGTCAGCCCTCAGTGAAGCTACACACTCCTCCAGCATCAACATCCGTCCTCTGAGCTACTTTGAGGACGTGACGGCGGCCCTGTCAGCAGTTAGAGACAAACTACAGGACGTCCTGAGAGAGGAATGGACAAACGTCTCACCGCCTGAAGTGGATGTTTTACTGCCAGCAGCAGAGCCCACCACCAGAGCTGGGTTCTTAACATATTCACAGGAAATCACACTGGATCCAAACACAGCAAACACACAGCTGATAATATCTGAGGGGGGCAGAAAAGCAACAGTCATGGAACAACTACAGCCTTATTCTAGTCATCCAGACAGATTCACAAATTGGCGTCAGGTCCTGAGTAGAGAGAGTCTGACTGGACGTTGTTACTGGGAGGTGGAGTGGAGAGGGGGAACAGTTCATGCAGCAGTCACATACAAGAATATCAGCAGAAGAGGGGGTGGGGGTAAATGTGGATTTGGACTCAATGACAAATCTTGGTCCTTAGTGTGTTTCCAACACAGTTATTCATTTTTTTACAACAATATCAACACTCCCGTCTCAGGTCCTCAGTCCTCCAGAGTAGGAGTGTACCTGGATCACAGAGCAGGTATTCTGTCCTTCTACAGCATCATCTCTGAAACCATGACTCTCCTCCACAGAGTCCAGACCACATTCACTCAGCCGCTACATGCTGGAGTTGGGCTTGGTTATGGTTATGGAGACACAGCTGAGTTTTGTAAACTGAAATAGCCTGAAGTCATTTGAGGAACTCTTCTACTTCTTAAACTCATTGTGTCCATCATTGTTGCTGAGAGCTGATTGTTCATCACTGCACAGAGATCAGCTGTCAATCAAACATTATGGGATGTGCTTTAACATCTTCTCATGAGTTGTTCTGTAGATGTTGGAGTTTCTTTAGGCGGCGCTCCTTCCTGTGTCTGTTTAGCCATGGAGGCTGTCACTGCTCAGGAGGGTTTCTGTTAACCTCTACTCATATTTCTCTGCATGGAAATGTGAACTTTGCTCTAAATATGTGTTGAATATTGATATATTTGTATATTGTTGTTTCTCTTGAAGCTTGAGTCTTCAGAGAGAAAGCACCAGAGCTTCTTTCATGTTAGATATTTTATTCTGGCCACTTTCTCAACAATAGAGACATTTATAATCACATGTATTATTTTGACAGATTATATATTATTGTTGCCCAAATTAATGAACAAATGAGTTCCCCAGATGGTTATAACACTTATTTCATCATTACATGTTTATTTAAAATGATATTACTTACTGTCATGATCATAATCAATAAGTCAATCATTTATTATTCTCCTGTCAATAGCTTAGAGTCTTTGTTTGGGAAATACATTGTATAATATTACAGTTATTGTTTTGCAGACTCATTGTTGTTGTGGTTGTTGTTGTTGTTGTTGTTGTCCAAATAGAAAGTGGGCACTCTGATGTTTTATAGAACATTAATTATCATGATAATAATCAGCAAGTAAATCATTTCTGATTCTGTTTGAAATAGCTGAGATTCAGATTGTGTGGATGAAGTGAAACTGATCATGAAATCATTGAACAGACTTACTGATGGGATGTGTGATCAAATTAACTGTTTGGATATTAAATAAAGGTTTGTCTTTCAAAAATAAAAAAGGATGTTCTTCTTGTATAATGTCCAAGGTGCCATAACATTTAACCATTTTCATTCAAATGATTTCACTTTTCTACATTTCTCCGCCTAAGTTCAGCAGTTTGTAGCTAAAAGCAGTCGCCATTCAGCTGTTACAATATTCAGCTTCTTCTGCATTTTCTAGTCTAACTTCAACTGCCTTCCTCCATGCAACGACTAGCTTTCTGTGGTGAGTATTTCACTATATTTAAATGTGTATACTTGTGGAAGCCCATCCTCTAAAAGGAAAGTTGCATAGTTAACAATGGTGGAAAGTAACTTAGTACATTTACTCAAGTAATGTAGCCTACTTAAGTATAATTCGGGTACTTTTACTTCCACATCATTAATACAAATCTGCATATGAACTAAAGGTATTAAAGAAATGTAGTGGGGTAGAATTACAAAGTACCTCAAAAATGTACTGGAGAAAATCTACTTTTCACTGTACAATACATTTCAGAGGCTTTTAATGCACTTCATTTATTTGACAAAAGTAGTTGCTTTTTATACAAATTCATGTGTTTATATGATATATATTTTTTACAAATTGACTCAGCACTTTCCAAAATGTGCTCCATATTGACCAAATCCAACATTTAAAAACTCATGTATTTTCTCATGATGAAAACAAGATATTATAATATTGTATAATAATACAACTCTTATATAAAAGAGTACTTTTACTTTTGATACCTGAGTACATTTAGCTGATAATACTTCTGCCAAATAGACAATAAATAGAACTTCTTTGGAAAGTTCAACAATTTTCTTCCGTGACAGTTTCAACCTGCATGGCACTAAAATAAATATATATCAAAGGTGAACCTGTCAGACTCCAAGTGGGAGGACTTCCATGTGATCACTGGAGCGTTACAGATGTACTTCAGAGAGCTGCGCTCTCTTCCACGACTTCATCAGCGCAATCAGTACGTGAAACACACAGCTGCACCACAACCACAAAACCAACATCAGCCTTTAGCTGTTAGCACTCACAGCTCACAGCTCCTCATATCTGTTCAGAACTAGACAAAAGTTAAATAAGTACAAACCACAGACTGTCTGTGTCATGGCGAATACAGTCGCTGGTTTATTTATGTCTGTATAGGCCGTTGCTGTGAGTGTGGACGGTCGGAGCATATACAACGTTAGCGTAGCCAAACTCCATTCAGAAAAAAAGGATTTAAAAAGGTTTTTAGCCTGCCGTCTGTCTGCAGACTAATCAAAACATTAATTCATGGTTTTTACTAACCGGTATCAGTATGTTGTTACTTCGGCATCATTTTGAAACGTGTATTACAATTAAATCACGGTCAAATATGTTCATTTTGTTGTAGTTGTAGCCCCCTTGCCAACGATTCTCTCTCTAGTTTAGCATACTACTCAGCCCGGTTGTTGGCCCGGAAAGAACCTGGGTTTTGGAGAGCCAGAAAACTGTGAAACCGTACCCGTTAGCCTCTTTGTAAACAGCGTAGTATTCATATTGTCTTTTATTGGGAATAAGTAAAACAATGTGCATATGATGTGGAAGTAGTCAGTGGAAACAACAGAAGGAGGCATGAGACTCTTTGATGAATCCAGATGATTCACTTTGATAAATGTTGTGTTTTCTGTTGTGCAGAGAGTCCAGACTACAAGCAGCGGGTTCAGTCCATTAAAGATCTGGTCCGACAGCTTCCCGTCTGCAACCACGACACCATGCAGACTCTCTTCAAGCACCTCAGGAAGTGAGAAAAAACACTCTCTTACTGCTCTATCATTTGTTTTTCCTTTTCTTCAGCTTGCTGTGTATAATGCCTACAAATCAAATCACACTTTGGTATGCCTTTCTCTGGCGACATCTGCGGCCTGAGGCATAATATGTTTGAGTTGTCCGTCAGAAATAACTTTCAAACATATGTGTGTCCGTACGCCTCGTTCTCCCAGGAATGCATAGAGGGAACCTTTTCAGATCTGGCACACATGTGGACTGTGACTTAAAGATGAACTGATCAGAAATGTGCGATGAAAGCAGGGGCGGACTGGGACTAAAATGCAGCGCTGGAAACTGACCCAGTCCGGCCACATGAAATGTCAAATGTTAGAAATCCGCTGTTTATTATTTAAAGTTTTACGTCCGATTCACTCCTTTTTCCCTCTCTGTACACAGCTCCAGTTTGATCATTGGCCTGTCATCAGATTTCATTTTTAGTTGCTGCTGTAGCGGAAGTTTAGTACAATTATTTTTGATGAAATACTCCAAATCTCCACCCTCCATAATTGCACTTGCTTCAGTTGCTTGCTACTTTTTAAGGGCAGTGATGACAGTTACAGTACGAACTGAAGTTGATGTGATTTGATTGGATTGTGAGGCATGACGTGCGCCTCATCTGATTGGTCAATCCCTCAATTTTTTTTTCACCAAGGGAAGCCAATTGTGGCTGGCCTCGTCTCGCAACAGAGTGCAATCTACTATTTCACCATAACATCTAGAGGGGCGCTGTTTCACTCTTTGTAAAATACTCAATGAGAATGGGGGAGAGACGGGCCGGCAGAATAATTACCGAAACTAAACGAAGTGTTTTTATTTATTTATTAATATTATAACTACAATGCAAAAAAAACAGGGGAAGCCTGGCTTCCCTTGGCCTCCAGGAGAAAACGTCACTGAGTTCAAGGGATAATTCTCACCCACCTCTTGCTCTTGCCCTGCACTTGTATGTGCCAGTTGAGCTGGTTCTTCCAGCAGCTCAACTCTGTCCCTCATCATGAACGCAGGAGGCTGGCTGTATATCTAAACTCGGGCCCTCATCATTCTCTTCATCATCTTGCACTTGTTCTAAGCTGCTGTTGATAGTGCTTGTAGCGCTGCTGCCAAGAAGGTCTGTCGATTTGCGACATGTATATGCTTCACCTGCGAGTGACTTCACCTTTATTTCTCTTGCCTTCTCGGCCCCACCTTTTTCTTTTCGTTTTCTTTGATTTGTATCCATGTTTTTTCATTCTCCCTGTCTGCCGCGGCGTCTAATCCCTTCTCTTCGGCCCAATCCCAAACCACTCCCTCGACCCTACCCCTCCGTGATGGAGTGAACTCCGTCTGTAGCACACACTCGCAGCTCAACGAGGCTCCCTCCTGTCAGATGGAGGGAGTAAATACAGCAGCAAGCTTTGGGACGGCCTCCCTCTCTCCGGCAGAAACAGGAAATGCCGTAATTGTATGTAACAACGGTTTCAAATCAGCATCTCTTAGACAAAAAGTTTAAATGAATAACTCAAATAAAACTCCAAAACTCTTTCATTGTGTTTCAAAGCTCTTTTAGTTTTAAACCTGATGTTTATAAGCTTCTTAGTTTTTGCAACGGTCTGTAAATATACACAACTTTATAATAAAATGCACACATTTACCTTTTTCTAGACTAAACACAGGTATGATCCTAAGTTAAAAACATATGAGGTTATCATGAGGTTGTTAACATCGCAATTTATCAGTGGATGTTTGCTGGAATTACTTGTAAACAGCGTGTTTCCTGACGGACACACACAGCGTGACTCCGGTCAGGTAGAGACCGGTCTCAAGTCAGCAACCGCTGCAGACTCGCTGTTTGAGGGCTTGATAGCCCACTCCCCCTCCACACTCGTTGCTTTGGAACAGCCCTCAATATGGCGGACCCTCCGCGTGAACGCGCAAACGGAGGGGTAGGGTGTGTCACAACCCGATCTGCAGCTCTGCCCGATCTGCAGTGCGCATGTGCGAGATGGTCCGCCATATTGGACATCTCCGGACGGCAACCCAAGTAGGACAACATTGACACAGTGGCTTTTGGCAAAGCTCAAAAATAAAACGAGAGAGAGATGAGTTATTGTTATTACAACGTGACTTCACTATTATTTAACAACTCTTTTTATTGGGTTCTTTTATTTGGGGTTAAGTACATTGTCAGAATAAGTGAGAAATGAATTTAACTTCTGTTAGACAGCCATATGCCATACATGTTTGCACACATTCACAGTAAATATGTATTCAGTATGATAGCTGTCTAACAGAAGTTAAATCCATTACTCACTTATTCTGACAATGTACTTAACCCTAAATAAAACAACCCAATAAAAATAGTTGTTAAATAATAGTGAAGTCACGTTGTAATAACAATAACTCATCTCTCTCTCGTTTTATTTTTGAGCTTTGCCAAAAGCCACTGTGTCAATGTTGTCCTACTTGGGTTGCCGTCTGGAGATGTCCAATATGGCGGACCATCTCGTACATGCGCACTGCAGATCGGGCAGAGCTGCAGATCGGGTAGTGACAGGGTGTAGGGCAATATGGTCTAGCTGCGGCCGCGGACAGTAAACGACGGTACACGACGGTACACGACACGCCCACCTGACACGACACTACGGTGGCTGAGAGGCATGGCAGATGAAAAGCGAATTGACGACACTACACGACACGCCCCCTACTACGCCACCCACGGTGGCTGAGAGAGACCGTACATGGCATGTTATTGTAGCATTTTAAGCAACTATTAGGCAAATAAATTAATAACCTATCCGTTTGAGAACCCCTTGGAACCCCTTATCCCATTTTGATGGTTGACATCTCATTTGAACAGTGAAAGCCAGAATGACAGCAGGGGTGAATTTCATTTTATAATTTTGCAATAAGTCAAAGATATGTTTACTGTATATTATAAAAATGCTTGTCATGTAGGCATACTGGAGGTACCGTTCCAATGATGTATTAATAATAAGATATATATAGCGCCTATATATATATATATATATATATATATACAGTATATATATATAATAGCAAAATAAACACAATTACACTGCGCTAAACTGCCACATCGACAAACAAACGAGAACCTAAATAGTATGTAATTATATCTAAAACCACAATACGTTTAATAATTACCTGTACTCGGTGCGCCATATTGTTTGTTGTCTGTTGTCTGTAAACCTCCATGTCTCCTTAAATATCTTTGCGTCAGCGTCTCACGTGTGGGGCGTGCTCTCTTCTGACCATATTTGGTAGTACAACTTTCGCGGCCGCAGCTAGACCCTTCTCAGCCACCGTAGTGTCGTGTCAGGTGGGCGTGTCGTGTACCATCGTGTACCATCGTGTACTGTCCGCGGCCGCAGCTAGACCCTTCTCGTGTAGGGGGCGGTTTGGGAATGGGCCTTCGTGTGGCCGGTCTTTTCTCTTCTTCGTGTGTGTGATTATTTGACATAAGAACCACACAACTGCATTAGCGGCCGCTGTCGGCCGTCATCGCAATTTAAATGATGACGTTAAACCTTTTCTTTTTAAAGTGCCTGCCGTCCACAGCCCTTGACGACCGGCCGTTCTGTGGTTCTCCAGATTCTACAGATGGCCAGTCCGCCCCTGGATGAACTCTAACTACTAATTAGGACAATTTCAAAAATAGGATAAAAATAGGCTGATGACAATTTGGAAGAATTTGGTTGAGGCATACGATCGTCACTCTGTAATACTAGTATAGCGGATTTATGAGTTGATAATAATTAAAGAATGTTGAGTTTTTCCTCCATATTTGTAGGCTTTTTCTCATTCTATAAATGTACACCTATATTTTCAGAAAATGACAAAATAAATCACGAATGAATGTATAAATACGTCTAAGAAATTCTGAGTTGTTTACTCTTTACTCCCCTGCCCAGGTTTGTATATTTCACCTACAACGGCCTAAATAAACCATCATACATATCTGATTATGAAAAATACGACAGCATTACGGAGCAGATTGTAAACAGTAGAGTATTTCTGAGAGAATTCTGTGTTATTACGTATCTGCAACCACGAATACTGTGAATATTTACTTCATTATGTGACCGTCTATGTTTCCTGTAGATATTTAATTGCAGTTTTACTGTACTGTTAGTTTACAGTTTTGTTATTGTGCTGCTGTGTTTATTGTATTTTTGTAACTCTGGTACAACAATTTCCTTCGGGATAAATAAAGTCTTATCTTATGTCAGGATTTATTATCAATTCCAAATGATGTGTCCTCTCCAGGGTGATCGAGCACGGCGAGGAGAACCGTATGACCACTCAGAGCGTGGCCATCGTGTACTGCGCCCCGAACAGGAGACGTGGAACATCGCGGTCCACATGGTGTACCAGAACCAGATCGTGGAGCTCATACTGCTGGAGTACGAGAACATTTTCGGCAGGTAGAGAGAGACACTGGAGGACGAGCCTCTTGTTTTTCTCTCTCACTCTCCCAACGCAGAGCTCTTCCTAACCCAGCGTGGCCCTGCCGAACACAGCCTGGCTCGGCTCGGCTCGGCTCAGCTTCTCTTCCTCTCAAATTGTAGTCACTGGCTTTCTCCTCTCGTACAACCTCCGGACCAAAGCTACGCAAATGTGTCATAAACCAAACCATAGATGTATCGAACTAGCGACCAAGAAACAGGTTTGCACTTTTCAGTATCTCATGTTCTCCTGCAGCTGCGTTTGTGCCACTTTACTGCAATAGTTGGCGTCCAAATGTCCGACACTGGATTCCTAATACAGGGCCATAAACGCCTCGTCTACTGCACAGAGACCAAAGCATCAGTTGGCTGGAAGTAAGGAGGCGTCAGTATTGGAGGTTGGAGACCGGACTGTATTGTATAACCTGTCACCACTCCTGTAAGAACCACACTGGGGAACCAAGAGAAGGAACTGCTGTGCTTGGCTTTAGACGTTTAGACACTAAGAGAAGCAACGTGGAGAAGAAGGGATGGAACGCTTTTATTTAGGAATGATATGAACATTTACTGCCCTTTCCGTTCAGGTCTCCCTTTGTCTTTCCTTTTATTTGAGCAGGAATGCTTCACCATCAAAATGACCACTTGTATATCAAATTACTCGACTCGTGTTTTCTTAGGTTTTTGAAGATGATGTCGTTTTTCTTGTATCCCTCTACGGTAAGAAGAATTCAAAAAACTGTTTTGATGAATTGACGTAAATTGGGACGTATTTTAAACCCTTTATTTAAAAGCTCTCACATTTTGTGCAGTAAAGCTCAATTATCCCGTCACATGCTAGTAATTCAATTTTTTTATAAAACCTTACATTATAAAAGACATCAAAGTTTCACATTTGAGCATTATTTGACCCTCCGTGAGACCAGTCATGTGGAAGTGCTTTAAATAGTAAGCTCTTAATGAAGAATTCAAGATAACATGGTGAATAATTGTCATTCCTTTAAACGCTCTTTCCATCTCTCTCTTTGTTCTTCTTCCTGTATTCCTGAAACACTGGACCAGGGTCCTCTGAACACATGAGAGGCTTTCACTCTGTCATATAGCACGCCGCCTTCTCCATTTGGCTTTATGAACAAATCACCTTGCAGCAGCCAGAACTTGAAAAACAAACAAATGGTACTCAGCTGTGTCTTTCCTTGACTCGTGGATATTAAATGTTAAGGCCGACCGTCTTTGAACCATGATTCCATTGATACATCTGTACAGTGTTTGTGTGTGTGCATGTGGACGAGGGGGGGGTGGACGGATGAATGGACTCGATGACAATATATTGTACAAATAGTGAATATAAATATGTATGCTTGGAATGTTAAAGAATATGATAAGAGGGAGAAATCACTATTGTTGTGATCGTTGTGAGACCAACAGAGGAATAAAGGTCTGAACTGGGGACGTGGAGGTTTACCTGAGGTTCAGGTAAATGAAAGATTGTTTGAATGTAACTTTGGAGAGTAACTGTTGGCTTTACCAAACTGGAATAAAGACCTCTGATAAGAGATATTTCCAAAGGAGATATGTGTTGTTTTACTGATGCAAACATTTACATCTGCGTTACATAAGCTCTATGTATTTCAGTGTGAGGATCAAGAAGGTGACTTGTCTGATGATCATGCGTGTTCAAATATCTGCATGCTGCTCCTGTATTTAATCCTTTATAGCTCACAATTAAAAAATAAACCATAAGGGACAAGACACAACATACAATATAGGTCAAACCTTTACAACTTCTACTTTCACGATTGATTTAGGAAGCAGAAGTTTATAGATATGTTTTAGTTTTTATAATTGACATACAAAATTACAATGTGACTACAGTGTAAGACAGTAGGTCAAAAGTCTCAGTAACACCTTGACTTCATATTTGATCAATTACACTATATATCTCATATCTGACTTCCCATTCAATATATTAGATTTATTTTATTCTAAATTGTATTCATCTGACACACACACACACACACACACACACACACACACACACACACACACACACACACACACACACCAAAGGCCTTTGCCTCCCTAACCATTGTTTTTATGGGTGAGCCTCCCATTTATTGATGTCAGATATCTCATTTAGTGTTTCTTCACCTCACACTCTCCAAAGCCACACACCCCTTCAAAAGAACATCTGATAACTCCTTCAGCCTACTTTCAGCTGCACAAAATATTCAACTATTAACTTATTCAGCTATTTCAGGACATTGAGGCAATACATTTACAGTAGAGGAAATAAGTATTTGATCCCCTGCAGAATTTGTAAGTGTACCCACTTATTTTACAACTAAAAGCTCTCTTCAAATGTAGAGCAGGTTGAAAGCGAGGCTCCGTTTGTAAATGAGGAAACAGTTCAGAGTGTCAGCGCTGCTCCTCCTCCTGGAATGAGTCAGAGTTTGATAAGCCCTCCCTCTTCTTCCTGCTCTCAGACACAGCCAGCTCCACTCTGTATTTCCTGGTTCCTCCCCTTTAGATCCACACTGAAGAGGATGGGTGTAACCAACATGTGGGTAAAATACAAGAGCTGATAGGCCACATTCACTGCACACACACATGTTGTTCAGATCACAGCTCACATAGTTTCAGTTCTCAGGAAGTGAAACTCAGACACTCGCTGCCACTGAGAGGAGAAATGGCGCAGAAAGGAGTTCAGCTGGACCGGGAAACCTTCTCTTGTTCGATCTGTCTGGATCTACTAAAGGATCCGGTGACGACTTCCTGTGGACATAGCTACTGTATGAAGTGTATTGAAGGCTTCTGGGACGGAGAGGATGAGAAGAAGATCCACAGCTGCCCTCAGTGCAGGCAGAGCTTCACACCGAGGCCTGTCCTGCTGAAGAACACCATGTTAGCAGCTTTAGTGGAGGAGCTGAAGAAGACTGGACTCCAAGCTGCTCCTGCTGATCTCTGCTATGCTGGAGCTGAAGATGTGGCCTGTGATGTCTGCACTGGGAGGAAACTGAGAGCCTGTAAGTCCTGCCTCGTGTGTCTGGCCTCTTATTGTGACAAACACCTCCAGCCTCATTATGAGGTAGCTCCATTAAAGAAACACAAGCTGGTGGAGCCCTCCAAGAAGCTCCAGGAGAACATCTGCTCTCGTCACGACGAGGTGATGAAGATGTTCTGCCGCACTGATCAGCAGTGTATCTGTTATCTCTGCTCTGTGGACGAACACAAAGGCCACGACACGGTGTCAGCTGCAGCAGAGAGGACTGAGAGGCAGAGAGAGCTGGAGGGGAGTCGACAAAACATCCAGCAGAGAATCCAGGACGGAGAGAAGGAGGTGAAGCTGCTTCAGCAGGAGGTGGAGGCCGTCAACGGCTCTGCTGATAAAGCAGTGGAGGACAGTGAGAAGATGTTCACTGAGCTGATCCGTCTCATGGAGAAAAGAAGCTCTGACGTGAAGCAGCAGGTCAGATCCCAGCAGAAGAGAGAAGTGAGTCGAGTCAGAGAGCTCCAGGAGAAGCTGGAGCAGGAGATCTCTGAGCTGAAGAGGAGAGACGCTGAGCTGAAGCTGCTGTCTCACACAGAGGATCACAACCAGTTTCTGCACAGCTACCCCTCACTGCCAGCCCTCAGTGAAGCTACACACTCCTCCAGCATCAACATCCGTCCTCTGAGCTACTTTGAGGACGTGACGGCGGCCCTGTCAGCAGTCAGAGACAAACTACAGGACGTCCTGAGAGAGGAATGGACAAACGTCTCACCGCCTGAAGTGGAAGTTTTACTGCCAGCAGCAGAGCCCACCACCAGAGCTGGGTTCTTAAAATATTCACAGGAGATCACACTGGATCCAAACACAGCACACACACAGCTGTTATTATCTGAGGGGAGCAGAAAAGCAACATACAAGGAACAACAACAGTCTTATTCTAATCACCCAGACAGATTCACTGGTTGGCGTCAGGTCCTGAGTACAGAGAGTCTGACTGGACGTTGTTACTGGGAGGTGGAGCGGAGAGGGGGAGGAATTTATGTAGCAGTCGCAGACAAGAATATCAGCAGAGCAGGGGGTGGGGGTAAATGTGGATTTGGACTCAATGACAAATCTTGGTCCTTAGAGTGTTTCCAACACAGTTATTTATTTAGTCACAACAGAATCAAAACTCGCGTCTCAGGTCCTCAGTCCTCCAGAGTAGGAGTGTACCTGGATCACAGAGCAGGTATTCTGTCCTTCTACAGCATCATCTCTGAAACCATGACTCTCCTCCACAGAGTCCAGACCACATTCACTCAGCCGCTTCATGCTGGAGTTGGGCTTTATTATTATGGAACCACAGCTGAGTTTTGTAAACTGAAATAGCCTGAAGTCATTTGAGGAACTCTTCTACTTCTTAAACTCATTGTGTCCATCATTGTTGCTGAGAGCTGATTGTTCATGTCTTCACTGCACAGAGATCAGCTGTCAATCAAACATTATGGGATGTGCTTTAACATCTTCTCATGAGTTGTTCTGTAGATGTTGGAGTTTCTTTAGGCAGTGCTCCTTCCTGTGTCTGTGTAGCCATGGAGGCTGTCACTGCTCAGGAGGGTTTCTGTTAACCTCTACTCATATTTCTCTGCATGGAAATGTGAACTTTGCTCTAAATATGTGTTGAATATTGATATATTTATATGTTGTTGTTTCTCTTGAAGCTTGAGTCTTCAGAGAGAAAGCACCAGAGCTTCTTTCATTGTAGATATTTTATTCTGGCCACTTTCTCAACAATAGAGACATTTATAATCACATGTATTATTTTGACAGATTATATATTATTGTTGCCCAAATTAATGAACAAATGAGTTCCCCAGATGGTTATAACACTTATTTCATCATTACATGTTTATTTAAAATGATATTACTTACTGTCATGATCATAATCAATAAGTCAATCATTTATTATTCTCCTGTCAATAGCTTAGAGTCTTTGTTTGGGAAATACATTGTATAATATTACAGTTATTGTTTTGCAGACTCATTGTTGTTGGTGTTGTTGTTGTTGTTGTTATCCAAATAGAAAGTGGGCACTCTGATGTTTTATAGAACATTAATTATCATGATAATAATCAGCAAGTAAATCATTTCTGATTCTGTTTGAAATAGCTGAGATTCAGATTGTGTGGATGAAGTGAAACTGATCATGAAATCATTGAACAGACTTTACTGATGGGATGTGTGATCAAATTAACTGTTTGGATATTAATAAAGGTTTGTCTTTCAAAAATAAAAAAGGATGTTCTTCTTGTATAATGTCCAAGGTGCCATAACATTTAACAATTTTCATTCAAATGATTTCACTTTTCTACATTTCTCCGCTAAGTTCAGCAGTTTGTAGCTAAAAGCAGTCGCCATTCAACTGTTACAATATTCAGCTTCTTCTGCATTTTCTAGTCTAACTTCAACTGCCTTCCTCCATGCAACTACTAGCTCTCTGTGGTGAGTATTTCACTATATTTAAATGTGTATACTTGTGGAAGCCCATCCTCTAAAAAGGAAAGTTGCATAGTTAACAATGGTGAAAGTAACTTAGTACATTTACTCAAGTAATGTAGCCTACTTAAGTATAATTTGGGTACTTTTACTTGCACATCATTAATACAAATCTGCATATGAATTAAAGGTATTAAAGAAATGTAGTGGGGTAGAATTACAAAGTACCTCAAAAATGTACTGGAGAAAATCTACTTTTCACTGTACAATACATTTCAGAGGCTTTTAATGCACTTCATTTATTTGACAAAAGTAGTTGCTTTTTATACAAATTCATGTGTTTATATGATATATATTTTTTACAAATTGACTCAGCACTTTCCAAAATGTGCTCCATATTGACCAAATCCAACATTTAAAAAACTCATGTATTTTCTCATGATGAAAACAAGATATTATAATATTGTATAATAATACAACTCTTATATAAAAGAGTACTTTTACTTTTGATACCTGAGTACATTTAGCTGATAATACTTCTGCCAAATAGACAATAAATAGAACTTCTTTGGAAAGTTCAACAATTTTCTTCCGTGACAGTTTCAACCTGCATGGCACTAAAATAAATATATATCAAAGGTGAACCTGTCAGACTCCAAGTGGTAGGACTTCCATGTGATCACTGGAGCGTTACAGATGTACTTCAGAGAGCTGCGCTCTCTTCCACGACTTCATCAGCGCAATCAGTACGTGAAACACACAGCTGCACCACAACCACAAAACCAACATCAGCCTTTAGCTGTTAGCACTCACAGCTCACAGCTCCTCATATCTGTTCAGAAACTAGACAAAAGTTAAACCAGTACAAACCACAGACTGTCTGTGTCATGGCGAATACAGTCGCTGGTTTATTTATGTCTGTATAGGCCAGGGGTGCCCAACCAGTCGATCGCGATCGACCGGTCGATCGCGGGGAGATTCCCAGTCGATCGCGAGATGTGTCTACAAATAGAACAACAATATTCAGTTTTATCGTTAATGTCCTGTGACATAATCTTCCTGTGCCAGAATAATGCACTTGAACGCATCAAAGCTTTGTGATTGGCCGGCGTGACCCCATGTGTCGGGGCGTGGCTGGTGAGCAGTGGGCAGTGTGCACTAGTTCGCTAACGTTGTCCGTGTCAACAGGAGTGACAGTCCGCACACACACAAGACCGCAATTATGGCAGAAGCAAAACATATATAATTTTCACTCCGAGTGGGAGGATGTTTATTTTTGTATCTATTCCAATTCAAAGTCCATCTATCTCATCTGCAATGCGAGCGTGGCTTTATCGAAGAAGGGTAATTTAGGAGCGGCATTTCAAAACATTGCACAAACGCTACGAGACGGAATTCCCTCCAAATTCTGCCCTACGCTCCCAAAAGGGGAGGGGCCTGAAAGGACCGCTAAATGCACAGCAGGCCATTTTCACCACAAGAGCAAGGCTGCTACCATAGGCATAGCATCTTAACGTGTCAGTCACGTTCTTGCGAAACACATGAAGTCTTCCTGGAGGCTGCCGACACGCTTTTGGGGGACAGTAAAAATAACAGTAGCATTTCAACAGGTTTTTGATATAATAAAAACTCAAGTTAGATACCGTTATTAATCTGCTGTAAGTTTTAGTTTGTTTGAACTTATTCATTATAATTATTGTACACAATGGTATAAGAATGCAAACTTAAATTGATTATAGTCTATCATCAATTCATGTTAAGAAACTAGTGTTGCTTGCATCCTATTTTAAAGGCATTTCTTTTTATAATCTACTAAAATGCAACAAAAAAAGGTTTGATTCTATTAATTTTGTCTTTTGTATTGCCCTGTTGCAGCAGATTCCTGTGTAGCTTCAGATCTGAGTTGTCTTATTAGTAAGCCTAATTTATACTTTTGTAGCAACACTATTTTTATATAATGGCAAAGAAAGGGTTCAGAGTATTTTCTTTTTTCCCTGTGTCATATGTGGCAGCACTGTTCAATGTTTCTTAAACATTACCCACTGTAGTATGTGACGTGTGAATAAACTCCAACTCTGTATCCACAACACTGTTGTGTAACTTCAGTTAAATACTTGTATGTGTGTAGAATAGAAAGAGGTAAGATAAAGCATCTGCAGTATTTTATTAAGTATTAATCGTACAAAGGTCAGTTTTATACAAGTAGAAGTGTGTATTTACCTGGTTGTAGGCTGTCAGTAATGGCTACGCCTCTCTATTTGGACTGGTAGATCTCGGCAGACTGGCAACTTTAAAAGTAGCTCTCGGTTCAAAAAAGGTTGGGCACCCCTGGTATAGGCCGTTGTTGTGAGTGTGGACGGTCGGAGCATATACAACGTTAGCGTAGCCAAACTCCATTCAGAAAAAAAGGATTTAAAAAGGTTTTTTCGCCTGCCGTCTGTCTGCAGACTAATCAAAGCATTAATTCATGGTTTTTACTAACCGGTATCAGTATGTTGTTACTTCGGCATCATTTTGAAACGTGTATTACAATTAAATCACGGTCAAATATGTTCATTTTGTTGTAGTTGTAGCCCCCTTGCCAACAATTCTCTCACTAGTTTAGCATACTCAGCCCGGTTGTTGGCCCGGAAAGAACCTGGGTTTTGGAGAGCCAGAAAACTGTGAAACCGTACCCGTTAGCCTCTTTGTAAACAGCGTAGTATTCATATTGTCTTTTATTGGGAATAAGTAAAACAATGTGCATATGTTGTGGATGTGGAAGTAGTCAGTGAAACAACAGAAGGAGGCATGAGACTCTTTGATGAATCCAGATGATTCACTTTGATAAATGTTGTGTTTTCTGTTGTGCAGAGAGTCCAGACTACAAGCAGCGGGTTCAGTCCATCAAAGACCTGGTCCGACAGCTTCCCGTCTGCAACCACGACACCATGCAGACTCTCTTCAAGCACCTCAGGAAGTGAGAAAAACACTCTCTTACTGCTCTATCATTTGTTTTTCCTTTTCTTCAGCTTTCTGTGTATAATGCCTACAAATCAAATCACACTTTGTATGCCTTTCTCTGGCGACATCTGCGGCCTGAGGCATAATATGTTTGAGTTGTCCGTCAGAAATAACTTTCAAACATATGTGTGTCCGTACGCCTCGTTCTCCCAGGAATGCATAGAGGGAACCTTTTCAGATCTGGCACACATGTGGACTGTGACTTAAAGATGAACTGATCAGAAATGTGCGATGAAAGCAGGGGCGGACTGGGACTAAAATGCAGCCCTGGAAACTGACCCAGTCCGGCCACATGAAATGTCAAATGTTAGAAATCCGCTGTTTATTATTTAAAGTTTTACGTCCGATTCACTCCTTTTTCCCTCTCTGTACACAGCTCCAGTTTGATCATTGGCCTGTCATCAGATTTCATTTTTAGTTGCTGCTGTCGCGGAAGTTTAGTACAATTATTTTTGATGAAATACTCCAAATCTCCACCCTCCATAATTGCACTTGCTTCAGTTGCTTGCTACTTTTTAAGGGCAGTGATGACAGTTACAGTACGAACTGAAGTTGATGTGATTTGATTAGATTGTGAGGCATGACGTGAGCCTCATCTGATTGGTCAATCCCTCCATTTTTTTTCACCAAGGGAAGCCAATTGTGGCTGGCCTCGTCTCGCAACAGAGTGCAATCTACTATTTCACCATAACATCTAGAGGGGCGCTGTTTCACTCTTTGTAAAATACTCAATGAGAATGGGGGAGAGACGGGCCGGCAGAATAATTACCGAAACTAAACGAAGTGTTTTTATTTATTTATTAATATTATAACTACAATGCAAAAAAACAGGGGAAACTTGGCTTCCCTTGGCCTCCAGGAGAAAACGTCACTGAGTTCAAGGGATAATTCTCACCCACCTCTTGCTCTTGCCCTGCACTTGTATGTGCCAGTTGAGCTGGTTCTTCCAGCAGCTCAACTCTGTCCCTCATCATGAACGCAGGAGGCTGGCTGTATATCTAAACTCGGGCCCTCATCATTCTCTTCATCATCTTGCACTTGTTCTAAGCTGCTGTTGATAGTGCTTGTAGCGCTGCTGCCAAGAAGGTCTGTCGATTTGCGACATGTATATGCTTCACCTGCGAGTGACTTCACCTTTATTTCTCTTGCCTTCTCGGCCCCACCTTTTTCTTTTCGTTTTCTTTGATTTGTATCCATGTTTTTTCATTCTCCCTGTCTGCCGCGGCGTCTAATCCCTTCTCTTCGGCCCAATCCCAAACCACTCCCTCGACCCTACCCCTCCGTGATGGAGTGAACTCCGTCTGTAGCACACACTCGCAGCTCAACGAGGTTCCCTCCTGTCAGATGGAGGGAGTAAATACAGCAGCAAGCTTTGGGACGGCCTCCCCTCTCTCCGGCAGAAACAGGAAATGCCGTAATTGTATGTAACAACGGTTTCAAATCAGCATCTCTTAGACAAAAAGTTTAAATGAATAACTCAAATAAAACTCCAAAACTCTTTCATTGTGTTTCAAAGCTCTTTTAGTTTTAAACCTGATGTTTATAAGCTTCTTAGTTTTTGCAACGGTCTGTAAATATACACAACTTTATAATAAAATGCACACATTTACCTTTTTCTAGACTAAACACAGGTATGATCCTAAGTTAAAAACATATGAGGTTATCATGAGGTTGTTAACATCGCAATTTATCAGTGGATGTTTGCTGGAACTACTTGTAAACAGCGTGTTTCCTGTCGGACACACACAGCGTGACTCCGGTCAGGTAGAGACCGGTCTCAAGTCAGCACCGCTGCAGACTCGCTGTTTGAGGGCTTGATAGCCCACTCCCCCTCCACACTCGTTGCTTTGGAACAGCCCTCAATATGGCGGACCCTCCGCGTGAACGCGCAAACGGAGGGGTAGGGTGTGTCACTACCCGATCTGCAGCTCTGCCCGATCTGCAGTGCGCATGTGCGAGATGGTCCGCCATATTGGACATCTCCGGACGGCAACCCAAGTAGGACAACGTTGACACAGTGGCTTTTGGCAAAGCTCAAAAATAAAACGAGAGAGAGATGAGTTATTGTTATTACAACGTGACTTCACTATTATTTAACAACTCTTTTTATTGGGTTCTTTTATTTGGGGTTAAGTACATTGTCAGAATAAGTGAGAAATGAATTTAACTTCTGTTAGACAGCTATATGCCATACATGTTTGCACACATTCACAGTAAATATGTATTCAGTATGATAGCTGTCTAACAGAAGTTAAATCCATTACTCACTTATTCTGACAATGTACTTAACCCTAAATAAAACAACCCAATAAAAATAGTTGTTAAATAATAGTGAAGTCACGTTGTAATAACAATAACTCATCTCTCTCTCGTTTTATTTTTGAGCTTGGCCAAAAGCCACTGTGTCAATATTGTCCTACTTGGGTTGCCGTCTGGAGATGTCCAATATGGCGGACCATCTCGTACATGCGCACTGCAGATCGGGCAGAGCTGCAGATCGGGTAGTGACAGGGTGTAGGGCAATATGGTCTAGCTGCGGCCGCGGACAGTAAACGACGGTACACGACGGTACACGACACGCCCACCTGACACGACACTACGGTGGCTGAGAGGCATGGCAGATGAAAAGCGAATTGACGACACTACACGACACGCCTCCTACTACGCCGCCCACGGTGGCTGAGAGACCGTACATGGCATGTTATTGTAGCATTTTAAGCAACTATTAGGCAAATTAATTAATAACCTATCCGTTTGAGAACCCCTTGGAACCCCTTATCCCATTTTGATGGTTGACATCTCATTTGAACAGTGAAAGCCAGAATGACAGCAGGGGTGAATTTCATTTTATAATTTTGCAATAAGTCAAAGATATGTTTACTGTATATTATAAAAATGCTTGTCATGTAGGCATACTGGAGGTACCGTTCCAATGATGTATTAATAATAAGATATATATAGCGCCTATATATATATATATATATACACAGTATATATATAATAGCAAAATAAACACAATTACACTGCGCTAAACTGCCACATCGACAAACAAACGAGAACCTAAATAGTATGTAATTATATCTAAAACCACAATACGTTTAATAATTACCTGTACTCGGTGCGCCATATTGTTTGTTGTCTGTTGTCTGTAAACCTCCATGTCTCCTTAAATATCTTTGCGTCAGCGTCTCACGTGTGGGGCGTGCTCTCTTCTGACCATATTTGGTAGTACAACTTTCGCGGCCGCAGCTAGACCCTTCTCAGCCACCGTAGTGTCGTGTCAGGTGGGCGTGTCGTGTACCATCGTGTACTGTCCGCGGCCGCAGCTAGACCCTTCTCGTGTAGGGGGCGGTTTGGGAATGGGCCTTTGTGTTGCCGGTCTTTTCTCTTCTTCGTGTGTGATTATTTGACATAAGAACCACACAACTGCATTAGCGGCCGCTGTCGGCCGTCATCGCAATTTAAATGATGACGTTAAACCTTTTCTTTTTAAAGTGCCTGCCGTCCACAGCCCTTGACGACCGGCCGTTCTGTGGTTCTCCAGATTCTACAGATGGCCAGTCCGCCCCTGGATGAAAGCTAACTACTAATTAGGACAATTTCAAAAATAGGATAAAAATAGGCTGATGACAATTTGGAAGAATTTGTTTGAGGCATACGATCGTCACTCTGTAATACTAGTATAGCGGATTTATGAGTTGATAATAATTAAAGAATATTGAGTTTTTCCTCCATATTTGTAGGCTTTTTCTCATTCTATAAATGTACACCTATATTTTCAGAAAATGACAAAATAAATCACGAATGAATGTATAAATACGTCTAAGAAATTCTGAGTTGTTTACTCTTTACTCCCCTGCCCAGGTTTGTATATTTCACCTACAACGGCCTAAATAAACCATCATACATATCTGATTATGAAAAATACGACAGCATTACGGAGCAGATTGTAAACAGTAGAGTATTTCTGAGAGAATTCTGTGTTTATTACGTATCTGCAACCACGAATACTGTGAATATTTACTTCATCATGTGACCGTCTATGTTTCCTGTAGATATTTAATTGCAGTTTTACTGCACTGTTAGTTTACAGTTTTGTTATTGTGCTGCTGTGTTTATTGTATTTTTGTAACTCTGGCACAACAATTTCCTTCGGGATAAATAAAGTCTTATCTTATGTCAGGATTTATTATCAATTCCAAATGATGTGTCCTCTCCAGGGTGATCGAGCACGGCGAGGAGAACCGTATGACCACTCAGAGCGTGGCCATCGTGTACGGCCCCACGCTGTTGCGCCCCGAACAGGAGACGTGGAACATCGCGGTCCACATGGTTGTACCAGAACCAGATCGTGGAGCTCATACTGCTGGAGTACGAGAACATTTTCGGCAGGTAGAGAGAGACGCTGGAGGACGAGCCTCTTGTTTTTCTCTCTCACTCTCCCAACGCAGAGCTCTTCCTAACCCAGCGTGGCCCTGCCGAACACAGCCTGGCTCGGCTCGGCTCGGCTCAGCTTCTCTTCCTCTCAAATTGTAGTCACTGGCTTTCTCCTCTCGTACAACCTCCGACCAAAGCTACGCAAATGTGTCATAAACCAAACCATAGATGTATCGAACTAGCGACCAAGAAACAGGTTTGCACTTTTCAGTATCTCATGTTCTCCTGCAGCTGCGTTTGTGCCACTTTACTGCAATAGTTGGCGTCCAAATGTCCGACACTGGATTCCTAATACAGGGCCATAAACGCCTCGTCTACTGCACAGAGACCAAAGCATCAGTTGGCTGGAAGTAAGAAGGAGGCGTCAGTATTGGAGGTTGGAGACTGGACTGTATTGTATAACCTGTCACCACTCCTGTAAGAACCACACTGGGGAACCAAGAGAAGGAACTGCTGTGCTTGGCTTTAGACGTTTAGACACTAAGAGAAGCAACGTGGAGAAGAAGGGATGGAACGCTTTTATTTAGGAATGATATGAACATTTACTGCCCTTTCCGTTCAGGTCTCCCTTTGTCTTTCCTTTTATTTGAGCAGGAATGCTTCACCATCAAAATGACCACTTGTATATCAAATTACTCGACTCGTGTTTTCTTAAGTTTTTGAAGATGATGTCGTTTTTCTTGTATCCCTCTACGGTAAGAAGAATTCAAAAAACTGTTTGATGAATTGACGTAAATTGGGACGTATTTTAAACCCTTTATTTAAAAGCTCTCACATTTTGTGCAGTAAAGCTCAATTACCCCGTCACATGCTAGTAATTCCAATTTTTTTATAAAACCTTACATTATAAAAGACATCAAAGTTTCACATTTGAGCATTATTTGACCCTCCGTGAGACCAGTCATGTGGAAGTGCTTTAAATAGTAAGCTCTTAATGAAGAATTCAAGATAACATGGTGAATAATTGTCATTCCTTTAAACGCTCTTTCCATCTCTCTCTTGTTCTTCTTCCTGTATTCCTGAAACACTGGACCAGGGTCCTCTGAACACATGAGAGGCTTTCACTCTGTCATATATCTGCACGCCGCCTTCTCCATTTGGCTTTATGAACAAATCACCTTGCAGCAGCCAGAACTTGAAAAACAAACAAATGGTACTCAGCTGTGTCTTTCCTTGACTCGTGGATATTAAATGTTAAGGCCGACCGTCTTTGAACCATGATTCCATTGATACATCTGTACAGTGTTTGTGTGTGTGCATGTGGACGAGGGGGGGGTGGACGGATGAATGGACTCGATGACAATATATTGTACAAATAGTGAATATAAATATGTATGCTTGGAATGTTAAAGAATATGATAAGAGGGAGAAATCACTCTTGTTGTGATCGTTGTGAGACCAACAGAGGAATAAAGGTCTGAACTGGGGACGTGGAGGTTTACCTGAGGTTCAGGTAAATGAAAGATTGTTTGAATGTAACTTTGGAGAGTAACTGTTGGCTTTACCAAACTGGAATAAAGACCTCTGATAAGAGATATTTCCAAAGGAGATATGTGTTCTTTTACTGATGCAAACATTTACATCTGCGTTACATAAGCTCTATGTATTTCAGTGTGAGGATCAAGAAGGTGACTTGTCTGATGATCATGCGTGTTCAAATATCTGCATGCTGCTCCTGTATTTAATCCTTTAGCTCACAATTAAAAAAATAAACCATAAGGGACAAGACACAACATACAATATAGGTCAAACCTTTACAACTTCTCCTTTCACGATTGATTTAGGAAGCAGAAGTTTATAGATATGTTTTAGTTTTTATAATTGACATACACAATTACAATGTGACTACAGTGTAAGACAGTAGGTCACAAGTATCAGTAACACCTTGACTTCATATTTGATCAATTACACTATATCTCTCATATCTGACTTCCCATTCAATATATTAGATTTATTTTATTCTAAATTGTATTCATCTGTCACACACACACACACACACACACACACACACACACACACACACACACACACACACACACACACACACACACACACACACACACACACACACACACACACACACACCAAAGGCCTTTGCCTCCCTAACCATTGTTTTTATGGGTGAGCCTCCCATTTATTGATGTCAGATATCTCATTTAGTGTTTCTCCACCTCACACTCTCCAAAGCCACACACCCCTTCAAAAGAACATCTGATAACTCCTTCAGCCTACTTTCAGCTGCACAAAATATTCAACTATTAACTTATTCAGCTATTTCAGGACATTGAGGCAATACATTTACAGTAGAGGAAATAAGTATTTGATCCCCTGCAGAATTTGTAAGTGTACCCACTTATTTTACAACTAAAAGCTCTCTTCAAATGTAGAGCAGGTTGAAAGCGAGGCTCCGTTTGTAAATGAGGAAACAGGTCAGAGTGTCAGCGCTGCTCCTCCTCCTGGAATGAGTCAGAGTTTGATGAGCCCTCCCTCTTCTTCCTGCTCTCAGACACAGCCAGCTCCACTCTGTATTTCCTGGTTCCTCCCCTTTAGATGCACACTGAGGAGGATGGGTGTAACCAACACGTGGGTAAAGTACAAGAGCTGATAGGCCAAATTCACTGCACACACACATCCTGTTCAGATCACAGCTCATAGTTTCAGGTTTCAGGAAGTGAAGCTCAGACACTCGCTGCCACTGAGAGGAGAAATGGCGCAGAAAGGAGTTCAGCTGGACCGGGAAACCTTCTTGTTCGATCTGTCTGGATCTACTGAAGGATCCGGTGGCGACTCCCTGTGGACACAGCTACTGCATGAAGTGTATTAAAGGCTTCTGGGATGGAGAGGATGAGAAGAAGACCCACAGCTGCCCTCAGTGCAGGCAGAGCTTCACACCGAGGCCTGTCCTGCTGAAGAACACCATGTTAGCAGCTTTAGTGGAGGAGCTGAAGAAGACTGGACTCCAAGCTGCTCCTGCTGATCTCTGCTATGCTGGAGCTGAAGATGTGGCCTGTGATGTCTGCACTGGGAGAAAACTGAGAGCCTGTAAGTCCTGCCTCGTGTGTCTGGCCTCTTATTGTGACAAACACCTCCAGCCTCATTATGACGTAGCTCCATTAAAGAAACACAAGCTGGTGGAGCCCTCCAAGAAGCTCCAGGAGAACATCTGCTCTCGTCACGACGAGGTGATGAAGATGTTCTGCCGCACTGATCAGCAGAGTATCTGTTATCTCTGCTCTGTGGACGAACACAAAGGCCACGACACGGTGTCAGCTGCAGCAGAGAGGACTGAGAGGCAGAGAGAGCTGGAGGGGAGTCGACTAAACATCCAGCAGAGAATCCAGGACGGAGAGAAGGAGGTGAAGCTGCTTCAGCAGGAGGTGGAGGCCGTCAATGGCTCTGCTGATAAAGCAGTGGAGGACAGTGAGAAGATGTTCACTGAGCTGATCCATCTCATGGAGAAAAGAAGCTCTGATGTGAAGCAGCAGGTCAGATCCCAGCAGAAGAGTGAAGTGAGTCGAGTCAGAGAGCTTCAGGAGAAGCTGGAGCAGGAGATCTCTGAGCTGAAGAGGAGAGACGCTGAGCTGAAGCTGCTGTCTCTCACAGAGAATCACAACCAGTTTCTGCACAGCTACCCCTCACTGTCAGCCCTCAGTGAAGCTACACACTCCTCCAGCATCAACATCCGTCCTCTGAGCTACTTTGAGGACGTGACGGCGGCCCTGTCAGCAGTCAGAGACAAACTACAGGACGTCCTGAGAGAGGAATGGACAAACGTCACACTGACTGAAGTGGATGTTTTACTGTCAGCAGCAGAGCCCACCACCAGAGCTGGGTTCTTAGAATATTCACAGGAGATCACTCTGGATCCAAACACAGCAAACACACATCTGTTAATATCTGAGGGGGGCAGAAAAGCAACAGTCATGGAACAACAGCAGTCTTATTCTCGTCACCCAGACAGATTCACTGATTGGCGTCAGGTCCTGAGTAGAGAGAGTCTGACTGGACGTTGTTACTGGGAGGTGGAGTGGAGAGGGGGAGGAGTTTATGTAGCAGTCGCATACAAGAATATCAGCAGAGCAGGGGGTGGGGGTAAATGTGGATTTGGATACAATGACAAATCTTGGTCCTTAGAGTGTTTCCAACACAGTTATTTATTTCGTCACAACAATATCATCACTCCCCTCTCAGGTCCTCGGTCCTCCAGAGTAGGAGTGTACCTGGATCACAGAGCAGGTATTCTGTCCTTCTACAGCATCATCTCTGAAACCATGACTCTCCTCCACAGAGTCCAGACCACATTCACTCAGTCGCTACATGCTGGAGTTGGGCTTTGTGATTATGGAACCACAGCTGAGTTTTGTAAACTGAAATAGCCTGAAGTCATTTGAGGAACTCTTCTACTTCTTAAACTCATTGTGTCCATCATTGTTGCTGAGAGCTGAGTGTTCATGTCTTCACTGCACAGAGATCAGCTGTCAATCAAACATTATGGGATGTGCTTTAACATCTTCTCATGAGTTGTTCTGTGGATGTTGGAGTTTCTTTAGGCGGCGCTCCTTCCTGTGTCTGTTTAGCCATGGAGGCTGTCACTGCTCAGGAGGGTTTCTGTTAACCTCTACTCATATTTCTCTGCATGGAAATGTGAACTTTGCTCTAAATATGTGTTGAATATTGATATATTTGTATATTGTTGTTTCTCTTGAAGCTTGAGTCCTCAGAGAGAAAGCACCAGAGCTTCTTTCATTGTAGATATTTTATTCTGGCCACTTTCTCAACAATAGAGACATTTATAATCACATGTATTATTTTGACAGATTATATATTATTGTTGCCCAAATTAATGAACAAATGAGTTCCCCAGATGGTTATAACACTTATTTCATCATTACATGTTTATTTAAAATGATATTACTTACTGTCATGATCATAATCAATAAGTCAATCATTTATTATTCTCCTGTCAATAGCTTAGAGTCTTTGTTTGGGAAATACATTGTATAATATTACAGTTATTGTTTTGCAGACTCATTGTTGTTGTTGTTGTTGTTGTTGTTGTTGTTGTCCAAATAGAAAGTGGGCACTCTGATGTTTTATAGAACATTAATTATCATGATAATAATCAAT